CGCGTCAACTGACACTCAATTAATTTGCTTTCTTCCAAGAAATTTATTACGAGAAAGTCGATCCATTTAAACGCCGAACATGGACAAAGAATTTCCCGCGTAAAGACCTTCATCACATAAATGAAAGTCGGCAAAGAATAAAGTCACATACGATTTACTATAACCCGGAAGTTTCGTCTCGCTTCCACTACTAGATGCCTCTGGAAAAAGCAAGTCCCAGAAGTTGATTCCACCTATCTTGCTCTCCCTGTCTGATGGCAGCTAGTAGGGTTAGGGGGCTGTACTGATGATTCCCAGCCCTAACCACGCTTCCTACTGTCTGTGATTACAGCTTGGGGACGAAACACAGGCAGGCTTTTTTACATACAGCTCTTTACATGACTTTTTCACATGCCACCCTGTTTCTGAAAATACGCTTCAGAAGAATCTGCACCTTTTTTATTTTCCTTCCCTCCCCACCTCCATGGATTATGAATGGCCACCGTCCTACCCCTCCTTATTCCTAATGCATTTAGGGTTGGTGTGGCCCCTGTCGCTCTATACCCTTCGCTAATTGGGCCACTGTTCCGGCCCCTGGATACTATTCTCCTCCACTTCCTCACAGGGCCTTTGAGGTCCATACTGTCTTTTATTTTATTTACATGCCATGTAAAACGTCTCCTAAACTGAAGCTTCCTTAGCTTTTAGGCCCATAAGTTGAATGATTTGAAGCATACCCAGATACGTACGCACAAATAAATATCACAGCTAATTTTTTGTTATAATTTTAAGACGAATAACTAACCAGAATAAGCAGGATGAGCAGTGGGATAGCACAGAGAACAACAAATGTGGTAGAAACAATCTGCGGCGGGCGTTTTTCCGGTTCACGAAACATATGCTTAATTTCTGGCAATTTATCATAAATAATACGTTCTGATTTTTTGATTTTTTGTGCAGGTACTGCGGGCAGAGTCACGCTAACATCCACCTGAAATTAGTAAAAATGACATCTACTCTCAAAAATAAAACGCAATTTTGGCTCAGTTTTCGTGAAACCCCAGTATCAATTCCATATGAAATAAACAGAAATTTTTACCAAATTCCAATCGAACGGATGCGAAACTGCTGCATCGCCAATAATTAGTCGTACCTCATATTTGCCTGACAAACCTTCGAAATCTTTCGCTACTTTCTCGAAATCCTAAAAAAATATGGGTTGATTAGATCGAATAAAAAAATTTGCATGATGTAAGAAAGAATAAGCAGAAAGTAAAGCAAAAACTAAAAAGTACCGCATCAAAAACGTAGTTATTATCACGATCCGGTGTGGCGACAAAAATGATCTCCTGACGAGTGGTTTTGTGGACGAATGCAACAAAAGCCTGATGGACTAATATCGAATCGCCAGTCCTTGCTTCTTTGATTTTGAACTTAATTTCCATTTTACTGTGAATATCGGCCTCCAAAACTTTTCCGATTTTCGAGCCTTCTTTAACCCTAAAAAAAAATACCTCAGCTGAAATTCTGATTAGGCAATATTCCTTTTAGAAGTCGAAATCTCCTCCATATTCACATCCCTACGAGCCGAAGAGGCAGTTGGAAGTAAGCCAGAGAGGAAACTTGTGAAAAGCACAGTGAGGTGGCAATTTGTGCTATTCTCAAGCTACGGATCAAAGGTTAAAGCCGTCACTGGGATAAGCAGTTCCTCTATGAATCGTCAACTTGCTTCAGTGGCGAATAGTTACCAGCTACAGTTAAGTAGTTACAGTTATAAAGGTGCCAGTAAGTCGAAACTTTCAACAGGTTATTTTTAATGAGTCCTAAAAAAAGCCGTAGAAGGCCTTGTAAGCGAGTGCTGTTGTTAGTACATAATATCAGTAGGGCTAATTTCGAGTACAAGATGAAAGTAGAGGGTTCTCTGACTTTGACTTATATACTCTACGCCTTAGAAACAGCTGAAAACTTCTGCAGCTGCGTGCAATTATTACCTACCAACACCGTAATTATGAAAGCATTTCGCGAATACAGCCTAATTCCCTAATCCTAAATAACAAGTATTATTTTTCCATATTAAACAAGTTAAGTTTTTTTAAAGCAAAAAAAAATTTTTTTCAAAAAACGCTCCGTCAACAAGTGTTTTCCACTTCATGCTTTCGTGACACTCAAAATTTACCTTCAAAAAAAGCGCATTTCGTGAATACTCGGAATTTGGATCTACTATTTTCAATGTTTAGACAAAGCCAGCATTTTTGCCAGTAAAAACCAAAAAAAAACAAGAGACAAACTTCAAAATTACAGTCAAAGCATCTCCTATCACTGCACTCAGGAAAACTTACGAAAACATAGGAAAAGTTACGAAATTGGAAAAACTTACGAAACTTACGAAAACTTACGAAACTGCATTGGAGAAAACTTACGAAATTGAAGATGAAGGTTTCGAGAGTTCTCTGTCGAAAACAGCTACACT